CGCCTGCCGTGTGCATGGGCTCCACACAGGCGCATGGGGGAGCCTGGCCTGGGTTCTAGCACAGGGCATTTCCCCCATGCACGTGGCCACGCCGGGCACCCCACCCCCTCGCTGGGCCCTGCCGGCTCCTGGCTGAGCGCTTCCCTGCTCCTCCCGCAGCCTCCTTCTGGGATGATCACTGCGAGGCCGGGGTCATTTCTTACTGACGAGCGCACGGAGCTGCTCGTCTGCCGCTCTCTGTGAGCGGGTCTGGCAGGGCAGCCTGGGGCTTTCTTCACAAGCCCCCTCCCCACCCCCACCAGTGCACCCATGGCCATGGCAGCAACGCTTCCAGGGCCGGCCCAGGACTGCATGGCCTCAGCAGCAGAGACTCTGGGGCTGGCCTAGGACCACATGGCCACAGCAGTTGCTGCAAGGGGGCGCAAAGCCAGGTAAGTGTCCCCCCTCACACTCCAATCCCCGTCACTCACCTTCCCTCCCTCCCCCCCACCCAAGACCTCGCACCGCCAGCTTGCTCCTACATCCTCCCTTCTGGACAGACACCCTCCCCAAAACCCCTCCTGCATCTTTCCTTGCTCCTGCACCTCCCCCAGCCAGACACCTAACCCCACCCTGCTCCTGCATCCACCAGAAAAGTAAATCTGGCCTACGGGAAGCCCTGAACCTCAGTCCTGTGTCCCTTCCATTCACTCCGTGGAGCGGGAATGCCAGAGGAGTGAGGGGGCCACACCGGTGGCGGTTAGCGGCTTTTGGAGTGGTTTTGTTTCTCGCTTGTGTGGTCCCCAACTGATTTTTCTCTGGGCCAGTAGCCCCCAGCCCAAAAACGTCTCGCCAGCCCTGCCATAAATAAAGAAACCATTGAAACCCTTTGTGATTCATGTGTCCCTATTTTGGGTTCAGAGAATATGGTCACCATACCCATGAGGTCCATCTACAGTGGAATGAGAGACTGTGCCACTGGCCTGCAGCAGGTGATTCAGGCTCAGGCTACAAGGCTAAAACCTGCATTGGACTGGAGCCCAGGTTCTGGGACTCTGCCTCCTGGTGGGGTCCCACAGCTCAGACTCCAGCCTGAGCCAGCCGTGGGTGTTTACTGGCCGTGCACACACGGACCCGGAATTTCCGTCCCGACAGCAATATACAGACAGGGAGGGGCGAGGTGATTGGAACGGGGAAATGACTCCAAGGGGTTGGGCTGTTTGCTCTCAACAGGTATCTGAGGGTTGGCTGAGCCTTGCTCTGTATCCGCTCTGCAGCCTTTAGGGCTCAGTGGTTAGCTCCAGGTGTGATGCTGTGTGAGTAAAGCTGGCCAGCTGTCTCATTATTGCTACCACAAGAGTGGAAAGTCTTGCCCAGAGGTGCTAATGGAACAGTGATTTGCTAAGTATGGAAGCTTCAGGAGTTAATCTGTTACAGAAAAAAATAACAAATGGTCTGGTAGCACTTTATAGACTAACAAAACATGTAGATGGGATCATGAGCTTTCATGGGCACAGCCCCCTTCTTCAGATGACCGGAGTTATGAGTTTAGGATGTGCACACCCAAAATAAATAGGAGGGGGAAGAAGAGGGGGGAGGGGAAAAAAAGAAGGGGGTGGCCTTGGGAGAAAAGCCTATTCTTGCTTACAGACAGCACCCCAACCTGAAACAAATTCTTTCTGGTAACCAAGCCACACAATCACAGCATAAGCCTCCAGGAATCCAGCTCTGCAATTAAAAATGATACCAACTCTGACCACATATCTATGCTGGCGAATACATCACTGGAGCCAATAACATAGGCTACCAAATCAAAAGGTCATTTGATGGCACATCCAGTAATTTGATCTATGCCATCAAATGCCAGGAGTGCCCCACTGCTTTATATATTGGAAAAACTGGACAGTCTCTGTGAGAAAGAATCAATGGACACCAATCAGATATACGGAAAGGAAACATACAGAAACTTTAATCTTCCGAATCACTGTTTGAAAGATCTTCAAGTAGCTGTCTTGTCACAAACCAGTTCTACTAGCCAGATCCACAAGGAAGCATTAGAATTAGAGTTCATCCACAAATTCAATTCACATGCTAATGGACTCAATCATGATGAAAGTTGGTTGGGACACGACTAACTTAACAGCCATTGAAAGTGCAAACAGCTCTTTGTGTAGACTCTTAGGTCAGGAAGGATACTATCAATTGACTTTGATTCTTATCTGCTTCGTTTTAACTACCCAATCTTCAGATACTTACTTATTCCCTCTAGCTCCCTGTCTCCTACCCACCCTCCTTCTTTTTCTTTCCCTCCCCCCCCCCCTTCCTCTCTTCTTTTACTCATAACTCTGGTCATCTGAAGAAGGGGGCTGTGCCCATGAAAGCTACACGGTATGCCGGCTCGGAGCCAGGGGCTTCCTCCCTGGGGTCATTGCAGCATGTTATGGCTCAAAGCTGTGGGAATCAGACTCTCAGTTATTCTTCTTCCCTTAAATAGAAACAGGAAGGACTCAGATCTCACGTCTGAACCTTCTCCTGCCCAGCACTTTCTGAGAAATGTGGATCTCACTCTACGCCGACCCCCATCTTTGCCATGGGCCAAGCAAAAACCCTGGCTCTGAAATCCCACAGCATTGGACAAGTTCTTAGCCTGGCCCACATCCCAGCTTGGCAGCTTACGCCTCTCTCTGACGAAGAGAGTCAGAGACACACGGGACGCTCTTACTGCTGCCAGCTGGCCCTCCACAGCTTCCTTACGACCAAGAACAAAGCAAGAGGAGCAGAAGTTGTATCATGAAAAGGGAGCAGATTAAAACAATGGAAAACCCAATGCAGTTAAAGCAAAATAAAACCCAATGCACATCCACATCGGCCAGACCAAACCTTCTAGAAAAGGCCTGCACAAGTGACTAGAACATGAAAACCTCTCTCTAGGGTTTTTGAACCATTTTATGGAATTTAATAGTAGACTTCTGTAGGATGGTTCATTCTCCAGGTTCCCGGGCTGGAGGTCAGGACCACCCTGCCTTGCACAGGCCCTATTGCTAGATGGGGTCCCAGTTAGTTGGGTGGGGAGCTCTTGGGATGGAAAAGAGGATAGCTCAGAATCATGGGTTTAGATAAGCCTCTCTGTCAACTCCTCCATAGAGCCCATAAAGCATGGGCAGGCAATATATGGCCCGTGGGCCAGACCCAGCCCTCCAAGCCACTAGATCTGGCCCACAGACCAACAGGGACATTGGGTAGACTCCTGCCTGCATCCCAATTCACTACCCCAGCTCCCTTCTGAACCCAACCTCTGCCCCAGACCCATAACCCTCCATAGAGACGTGCAGCCCACGACTACTTACCCAACTCTTGTCATGGCCCCCATTAAAAATTATTGCCCACCCCTCTCATAAAGTGACTCATTAGTGAAATGCCTCTACAAGGAGTATCACAGAGATCCCTGCTACTTCTAGCAGGACACAGCTTTTGCAATCCTAAGAAGACCAGGGAAAGCATAGTCTAAATTGTGCCGTTCTATGCAGCCAAGGGCTCTAAATGCCCTGTTGTTTCTCAGTCTCCAAACCTGCTCTTCCATGGGGCCCCACAGTAAAAATTCAGCCTCCTTTCCTACTGACCCTTTTACAGTTCTATAGCTCCCTGCTGGCTTCAGCCTGATTCATTTCTGTGGAGTGGCCCACCACGGAGAGGGGCAGACAAGTATGCACACTCCCTCGATGTCTTATAAACTAGACTCATACCCACATTCAGATGTCACCAGCCTCTTGCAATTTCCTTATGCCGATAATGGGGCACATTTTCACCACCTGAGCTGCACAAGTGCAAGCACTTACCACAAGCATGTGCTCATGCACCATAGTTGTGCACACAACTGCAGTAACTAAATTCACAGAGGATCAGTTATCCCTAATTACATGTGCACATGGGTGAATGCTATTTGGACAGCCATATGCACACACTTTCTGGCTTAGGATACAGCTGAATATCTAGCTCTGTTGATCAACAATGTTTTTAAGCATCTGTTTATCATTATAGTCCTTTCATATGTTTTCTTTTTGTCTGCCTCTGGGTGTATATCTGTTATATGCTGTGTGTGTGACTCTGGGTGAATATCTGATATATGCTGTGTGTGTGACTCTGGGTGTATATCTGACACCCAGGCTATGTCTGGACTGCAGGCTTCTTTTGGAAGTAACTTTTCCGAAAGAGATCTTCCGAAAAAACTTCTTCTGAAAGAGAGTGTTCACAGTGCAAAAGCCATCGAAAAAGCGATCTGCTTTATTGAAAGATAGCATCCACACACAATGGATACTATCTCGCATTTAAGCTGTGATTACTATGGACAGAGTGGCCACCAGGGCACCTGTGCTTTTTCCTCTTTCCTCTTCTCATCCACACACTCCTTCACTCATCCAGAACTCCCTCTTCCCCATCCACACACATCTTTTTCCAAAAGAGCTCTTTTGGAAAAAGGCTTCTTCCACGTAGAAAGAGGATTACCAACGCTGGAAAAAAAACCCTGTTCTTTCTATTGACTTTCGAAAGAACGCGATTGCAGTGTGGACGTTACTCAGGTTTTGTTGGAAAAACAGCCATTTTTCCAACAAAACGCTGTAGCGTAGGCATACCCCCAGAGTGTGTGTCTGTCTGATTCTGAAACTCTCTTGTTCCCTTTCCTGACTAGCAAACAGACTAGCACCCTGGCTTGTTGGATTTCTTTGCTGGACAGGTTATTCCACATGCCCTGAACACTGGGCTGTTCCTTTCTGAAAGGAATCTGTTTCTGAAATGACACTCCAAAGCAGCCCCACAGCAGTTCCCCACCACCCCAGGAAACCTGCCCTTTCCTTCAGCACTTTCTACTTCAAAGCAGCTCCAGCTCACCTTCAACGCCGCAGTCCAAATTGCAGGTTGCCACCAGGGCTAACAGCACAAGAGAAGCAACAGACGTGCCCTTCATTTTCTGCCGATCAGGAGCCGGTGGGAGCAATACAGAGACTGTTAAGCAGAGCGATTTCTCAATAATATGCTTGGCACCCTCCCTGGTCGTTCCTAACAGAACAGCAGCATTCCAAGGACTAGAGGCAGCCTGCAGCTCCCAGCCTTTATTGCACATGTGGTTTCAATTTTCATTGTGTGGGTGTACGGGCTGTATTTACCACCCCCGTGCCTGTCCCGTGACAAAGTGAGGTGGGAAAAACCAGGGCTGGGAATGGATGTCGGCAGCAGGCCAGAAGGCGCGTGGAATTCCCCAATGTATCAATTATCTGCTAAACCTTTTCCTTGCACTGCCGGGAGCAGGGAACCATGAAAACGGAAGTTGCTGGTTGAGTGAGGGGAAAATAGCTGGTATCAAATGCCAGGGCTCCATTGGAGCATGAAGAAGCAGAGTGAATTTATAACTGGCCTTGTGGCCCTGTGCAACTCTTCCTAGATCTCTGCACGCTACCCTCATTTCCAATTTCAGCTGAAAACAAATTGTTTCTCACTAGCTTCCTCTGTTCTCTCCAAGGAGGTTGTGGGTGAAATCCCCATCACTGGAGGTTTGAAAGGACAGGCTGGGCAACCTGCTGTCAAGGATGCTCTAGGTCAGGTTTGCTTCTGCCTGGAAGGGGTTTGCTGATCGCTCAGGGTATATCTACACAGCAAGGCTAAAGTAGAATTGCGTCGCTCCGTGGTCACCAACCCATCAATGGCAATCTACTGGTCGATCTTGTGGGCCTGACCAGTCGATCGTGAGGCTTGTGGGGGGCCCCCCCTCACTGCCCCCACCCCCCCAAGAGGAATGCCATGCTAATGCTACCTCCAGGAACAACGGAGGGAGCGCGGGCTTCCAGCGGGGTGGGGAGAGTTCTGCACTGGTACCGGAAGTGCGCGAGCTGCTCTTCCTTCCCCTTGAACAGCCAGCGCAGCACCTAAAATGCTGGGGAACAACGGAGGGAGCGCGGGCTTCCAGCGGGGTGGGGAGAGTTCTGCACTGGTACCGGAAGTGCGCGAGCTGCTCTTCCTTCCCCTTGAACAGCCAGCGCGGTACCTAAAATGCTGGTCCATCACGTGCTAGGGAGGGGAGGAGTAAGGCGCCAACTTCCCAAGCGGTTGCGGTTGGCGTGGTCTGGGACACCTCCCCCCCCCCCCACAGGCAGGCAGCAGGGGAATAAAGTCTCCAGCGCGCCCGCTGGAGCCGGCACGGTCCAGGTCTCCCCCTCCCCCCATTCCCAGCCCGCATAGGAAGGCATCGGGCACATGACGAACCCGGGTTTCAGGTACCATGTTACTGTTTAGGGCTCGGGGGAGCAGCCCACGCACTTCCTGGGCTTTGGCCTGCAGCTGCAGGATTCCCAGGTACTGGTCTCTGTCCCCTCCGCCTGCTCAGACCCCCACACGGCACGGTCCAGGTCTCCCCCTCCCCCCATTCCCAGCCCGCATAGGAAGGCATCGGGCACATGACGAACCCGGGTTTCAGGTACCATGTTACTGTTTAGGGCTCGGGGGAGCAGCCCACGCACTTCCTGGGCTTTGGCCTGCAGCTGCAGGATTCCCAGGTACTGGTCTCTGTCCCCTCCGCCTGCTCAGACCCCCACAAGTACCCTGCCCCGCCACCCACCAGCACACTGTCCTCTGCCCCAGCCCTTGCCCTGGCACCCACTGGCCCCCTGTCCCTTGCCCCAGCACCCATTGGCACCCTACCCCAGCACCCTGTCCCATGCCCCAGCACCCCTTGGCACCCTTCCCAGCACCCTGTCCCAGTACCCCCTGGCACTCTTCCCCAATACCACATCCCCTACCCCCACCAGCACAGTCGGGGCCACATTAGTGAGGCTTGTGGGGGTTTTGGAGGAGTTTTTATTTTGCATCTCACTTGTGTGGCCCCAACTGACTTTTCTGTGGGTCAGTGACCCCTGACTCAAAACAGGTCCCCTGCCCTTCTCAGAAATAAAGACAATGCAGAAACTTCTTGTGTTTGACATTGTATATTATTTTAAAATGAAGCCTGGACAACAAACCCCCAACTGGGGCCAAGCCCACATCTGGCCACAGCATCATAACACTCCTGCACTCCCTTTTCCCCCAGACCCTACATCTGAGATATCCCAGAAAAACTCTTCTGCATCCAGGGACGCGTTTGTTGTTCTGCTTCTTTTAGTGGAAGAGCAAACTTGCTCTTTCGGTCACCCCTATACTCCTCATTCCACAAGGAATAAGGGGTCTTCCAAAAGAAGGGTTTTTTCTGACATTTGGTCCAGTCTAGACAGGCCAAATGTTAGAAAAACCTCTTCCTACAGAAGAATTGGGGGGAAAAAGCAACAGTATAAGGGTTGGGGATAGCAAGTGATGGAGAGGAGGAGACTAGAGAGGAAGGGGCGGGGCTTTGAGGAAGGGGCGGGGCGGTACATCTTGGCTTGTTCTGTCATTTAAAAAGTGATCTTGGGTGTAAAAAGGTTGGAGACCACTGGCGTAGCTGAAGTCGAACTAGCTTAATTCAGTTTTTGAGGCTGTTTACGCAGCAGGATGTCGAAGGAAGAACACTCTTCCTCCAACTCCCCTTACTCCTCATGAAATGAGGGTTACAGTAAGAAGTCCTCCAGCTCAACATTATTTCGAAATAAAGGCTTGCAGTGTAGACGCGTGCTGTGTTATTTCCGAATAACGCTGCTGTGTAGACATAGCCTCAGAAGGCCCTGTCCAGCCCTACACTGCTGGGGTTCCATGGTCTCCCTGGATAAAGTGCAAAGCAAAGTCCTTCTGAAGCGACAGACTGAAGCACACCGTGCCCGTCAGGCTCTATGCAATGTCTGTAGATCTGAGGAGCCTGGCTAGACAGTTGTGGTGTCAGAGGCCTGGGCGCTGAAAGCTTGCCGCATGGCAGTGGAAACCTCAGCGCTGCTGCTGTGATTTGTTGCTATGGGAGGCCGCAAACAGTAACCTCGGGCGTGTGGTCGAGCAGCCCGTCCACACTGTGGTTATCACCGAGGCTGGGATGAGGGAAGAGGGGCGCTTTAGTTTTACAAACGTTATCTAATGTCTGCTCCAGAAATCATCTGCTAACAGCTCTCTAGTACCAGCCTAGTGACAGACACCCCACAGGCCAGGCAGGAGGTGGCCCTGGGCTCCAGTGAAACCCCCAAATGTCATCTGACAGCCGGCTACCCTACCAGCTCTCCCTACAGCAGAGCCTGGTGTGCACCCCCTCGGGGCTCTCTTGTCCTGAGGCAGACTCATAAACCAAGGTGCTATCAAGCCCCATGACCCGTTCAGCAAGGGGACGTTGTGCTCGATTCAAGAGAGACGCTGGGTCTTCACCAAACCCCTGGAAATGAATCCAGGGTTCGGGTCAGAGTTTGCTGCTTTATCTGTAATGCTCAGGCTCAGCTGAGCCCCCCTTCCAAACTCTGGGGAGCTCTGGGTAGGCTCCCAATTTCAGGCACCAGCATTTTGAGTGTTCAGAGGCAGAGTGATGAGAGGCAGGAGGAAGACCAGACCCAGATGCAGGTCATGTGAACAAGTGTGTGTCACCCCACAGCTGGAGCCAGTTATTCGCCCCCTCTTCCAGGCAGCCTCAGAGGAGAAGCCCTTGGCTCTGCTAGCACAGGAGCACTGAACAAACTCTATGGAGAGATGGTCCTTCCACACCTGCCATGCAGGGCCGGCCCACAACGTTTTGGCACTTGAGGCGGGGAACTCAAATGAGGCCCCCATGCTCCCTTTTCTTCTGCCTGCCTGTTATGTCTCTTGTGCCCCCCTTCCTCCAGCACAGCACTCCAGCATCTCTGTGCATCTAGAGCAGAGAGAACACATCTGCCCCAGCCGCAGACAGTTTTCTACACTCTGGGTCCTACTCTGCCCACAGTCTGGCACCTGAGGAGACCGCTTCAGTTTGCCTCATGGTAAGGCCAGCCCTGCTGCCATGCTGGAGCTTGGATTGCTGCCAGGCATGCTGTCCTATGGAGACTGCCTCTCCGCCTCCAACACACTTCACCGGTGCAAAGAGGCAACTGAACGCGTCTCCTCAGTGGGCTACAGACCCTCCCAGAAGTCACATGACCCACCAATGTCGAACAATCCCTTGGGAAGGACAAACCTGACAACGACTGAACCGTGCCGAGTCCCACCATGACACGACACAGCTGGTGCCAATAAATTAAAGATTTAATCCCTTTCAGAGTAATAGGCATTTTACATAAATAGAGCAGAGCCAGCTGGCCCTGGGAGGCAGAAAAGAGACGAGGGGAGCGCAGGCCTGTGGCAGTCCGCTGTCCCAAACTACTTCTTTTTCTCCAGGCGCCGTATTGCATTTTGCACCCACTTGGCCTGTGGATCAGCACAGATTTCCGTATTCCGGAGAGTCACAAACCTGCAGTGTTGGAACATCAGAAAGCTCAGTTATTAACTGCAGAGAGAGCGTGCACAGGAGTCAGCGCTCCAAAGGGAGCACGCTGGCACGACTCCCACAAAATTCAGCTAATACCCCAGAAAGGAAAGAGGAGAATGAATCACTCAGCTTTGCTGCCAGGCTTTGCAGTACTAGTTGTGCTGCTCGGGGCATACTGGTCTGAGGCAGCTTTGGAGGTTTCTTTTGCCTCATGTACCTGGTACACTCAACAGCTGTGAGCTGCCTAGTGTCTGACAGAAGACTGAAGGAAGAGAACTTCCCCGGCTACTAGCAGGTAACATTAAAATACTTTGTGTTTCTATAGCACCTTTCACCTTTCAAATCACACTTCAATCTACACCTGTGAGGTAGTTACAGCTGGGTAAACTGAGGCAGGGAAAGGCTAAGGGACGTTGCCCACAGCTAGTGCAGTGTTTCTTCATCCCAAACCGGTAGGCGATAGTTTGACAAATTATTAGTTGTGCCATTCTACAGCGCATGCAGCTCCCTCCTGTCCCAACATGCTGCATGAGCTGTAACTGTGCTCCTCTACCGCAGGACTGCAGCGGCCGTGTTCAGCTCCCTGCACAATTGTTCGGGAAAGGAAGAAGAGCATCGTCGTAGGGACTGAGTCTCCTCTCCGAGACACGGGGGTAAATTAGGGGTAACAGCATTAGAGGCTGTGGAGTCATGTGTATGGGAAAACCTTTGTGTCCGAGTGAAATTACCCGATTGGTTTAGGCCGGCAGACTGAGCTGGTTCACACTGACGTCTGTCTGGGGTGCAGTGGCTAACACCCACAGGGGGTCAGCACCTCAGCTATACTCAAGACCTTCAGCCTGCTCTGAAATGAAACCTTAGGAGGAAGCCAAGAAGAATCTAACCCACAGGAAAGGCTGCTGAAGAGACAACGCCCTGTTCTATCTTTGCCACAACCCCCATTGCACAGCACTGTGTACTGGGACAGTGCCTTAGAAATAGACATGGATGGAGATTAGGGCATTAGCATGGCTTGAATTCCCTGCTCTGCTGTATGTAAAGCTTTCATGTAAACTGCAATTTGTGGGCTGCTATTTAAACAGTGTCTTAATGACTGAGACAATGCAAGGTGTGGTTACACCAAGTGCCTCCAAGGTTCAAGGCATATCGCAGTGGGTGAATCACCCAGCTGAAAGGTACAGGGATGTACAGTGCTGCACTGCCTGGAAAGTAAGAGCATTCCCGTAAAGTCTACTTCCATTCTGGTAACTAGCGTCATGGTCAGAGTGGTCATCAGCCAAAGCTCTCACTTTCTCCACAGCCTAAGAATTAATCAAGACCAGCTCTTGAGATATTTTCCATGAATTTTCATTTTATAATACAATTAATAAAATAATGTTCTGATTTACACTCAGGGCCTGATTCTTCTCTCAACACACTGGTGTCACGCAGAAACGGCTCTGCTGAAATTAATTAGTGTAAATGAGGAGCAACTTCAGTGGAGTCATACGGCTCCAAAACCAGATAAGAGCAGAATCAGGCTCTTCATTGCTAAGCGCAATAGGCAATTGCAAGGCTAAGTGACCACGGTCTGTGAGACTTCCTCCTAACACTTACGAGAGCAGCATGTCCCTAGCACACGCCTATCCCCCCTCAGTTCCCACAGAGAAGCAAGCTCCGACTGACTGAAGGCTACTTACACCACAGCTGGCCTCCTACACCCCCAGGAGGTCCTGTAGAAATGCTTCAGGTTACCAAAACGAATAGGTAACTTAATGACGCTTGAACAGCAGGTTGTGTCTTCCAGGATCCCTTGTGGAGCTTTGGAGGAAAAGAAAACCAAATGAGAAACAGTTCCACACCCCTTACATCTTTCTAGTGTCCACGCCTTGATGTAGGAGGAAAAGGGCCCCTACTGCCTATTCTGTTCAACCACAGCAGTGGTGGCTGACTTGCAACTACGTAGCATCGAGAAGGAGCCCCCAAACAGCAGGTTAGGGAGCACCACATTGAACTTCCCTGGTAGAAAGTGTTTATCCCAGCATGCTTTGCTCTGCAAGAGGCTGAACACCCTGGCTATGCCCATCCTTCCTCCCTGCCCTGGGAGCTGCTAGAAGGGCGGCATAAGAGCTTGCTGGCCAGGGGTTCTCACATTTCATAGCACCATGACCCCTTCAGGCCACAAACATGATTACACAACCCCAGGAGCAGGGACTGGAGCCCTGGTGAGACGTCAGACTGATGCCCAAGGTCTTCAGCTGCAGGGAGGGACCTGTAATCTGAGTCCCAACCCACAGGTTGAGAACCACTGGTCTGGGCCAGTACAACACTCGCTGGGGAGATCTGAGTCTCTTCCAGGCTAGTGAATCCGGCCCTGGAAGTATGAATCCAGCCCTCGCCCCCCAGCGGCACCTTCCACCCTCTCCTAGCTCTTTGCTGAAAAGGGTCGGCAATGCCGCACGGTCCCACTGACCAGCATAGATGGGCTGAAGAGAAAGGCCCAGGAGGAAAATGAGCAGAAGAGCCGTCGTCAGGCAGTTCATGATCCTGGGAGGTTTCTCTCCAGCTGGAGGACCCTGGGCCTGGGACGCTTTCCTCGATGGCCAGGCTGAACTGACAGCTTTGGGCAGAGCTGCAGGATTTAAACCTGTCCATGAAGTTGTGGAAATCACCCTCTCACCAGAGTTTGGAGAACTCTGACCAAAGCCAGCTTTCAGTAGAATCGCAGCCTTTCTTAGAAGCCAGGCCCTGCTTCAGTCTGTTAAGGAGTGAGTCACGGCCCTGACCGCCTTCCTGGGGGGAGACTGGGAAGAGAAGAGCAGGTGGCAGTGCAGTGATAGGAGATTTCACCAACCCAGGATCAAAGGGGGGTTAGTGGAACCCAAAGTGCAGCCTTCTAGTGGACAAGCACCCCTGGAGCAGCAGTGGGGGACCTACGCCCCACAGGACAGATCCAGCCCACAAATCTCGGGGTTCCCCCCAGCATCGGTGCTTCAGCCCTGCCTCCTCACATGGCTGGAGCACCAGTGGCAGCTCGCCACTGCCAGGGGAGAGCGCTGACCCTCGCGGGCCAGAGTCAGGCAAGCCGGGGCCAGATCCAGCCCATGGGGGAGGAAGCGGCTCCGCGCAGTCACTCCTCCCCCCGCTGGGGAAACGGCAGCGCAGGGAAGCACTCGCTTGGAGGCTTTTCCCCCGCCACTTGACTGGCTGTAATCATGGCCAATAGGAGCAGCAGGGGGCGGTGCCTGGGAGCAGTGGGGGGCAGGGAGCCACATGTATCTCCAGAGAGCTGTGAATGTAAGAGCCCCCTCTCACCCAGACCCGGTACCCCCAGCCCACTCCTGCACTTGGCCACCTTCCCAGAGCCCCCAACCAATGTTCCCTCGCATTTCCCATGCACGAGTGGAATGCATTTTGTTCTGTGCACTGAGGCATGGGTGGACGTGCACCACCAATAGAAACACATGCTCCCAGCTAGGGCAGGCTGTGGGTGCTCTGTTAACCAGACGTTTGTTAGTTCGAATTAACTTTGTAGTGTAGACATACCCCTACTCGGCTCCTCCACCCTCTGGGGCATAGCAAGGGGGGTAGTTGCCCCCGGGCGCCACACTAGGGCGAGTGCAGGGGGCCATGTCAGACCTGCCCACGCTGTTCTCCCTGCACTCGCCCTAGTGTGGCACCTGGGGTAACTGTCCCCCCTCACTACGCCCCTGTGCACCCTACCTCCCACCCAGCCCCCCCACTCGTGGCCTGCTCCTGCACTCTCCCGCCCACCCAAAACCTACATCTCTGGCACGCTTCCTGTCAGCCTCCCTCACACACTGAAACCCTCATTTTTGGCCCTATCCCAGAGCCTAAGGGGATCCACAAATTTTATTATTCCTGGTCCCCCTAGTCTCTGAGGCTGGTGTGTGAGGGGACTAAGGAAAGTGTCTTTTTTACTGCGTCTCAGTCGGGGGCCACAGTGAGGTTGGATGGTTGGTTGGTTGGTCGGTTTGCTTCTCACGTTTATGTGGTCCCTGACCCAAAAAAGCTTCCTCGCCCACAGAGAGAACCGACTCTGCCCCAGCAGAAGAATCCTCAGAGCCCTCCTCAGAAGCCAAGGCACCATTTCAGCAGCCAAAGGGCTGAGGGCATCCTCCCCAGGTGCAGCCAGACTCTCTCTCTGCCTGTGTGTTATGACATTAGCCTGCTTAGACATGGCTAAAATGTTATTACCTGTTAAAATATCAGCAGGCAGCACATTTCTGATACCTGTGATACTAGTTCCTTAACATCCGCCCACTCAGCGCAGATGTCAGCCGGGGCACAGCCACAGAAACCTCAGTCAAAGAAAAAATATCTCGGCTTTTCCCAGGTGGCCTCCCCTCTTCTCTTTCCCAACTTCCCTTAGCCAAAGTGACTCATTGCCCTCCTCTGTGCAGCCAATGCTATTCACCCTAGCACACGCGCCGCATTCTTCACCGCCGTCCCAGAACTCAGGCCTGATATTGTTTATGAGGCCCTTCTCCTCCTCTCTAATTTCCTCTGGGATCACATAATCACTCCCATAATCCTATAATTTGCTCAGGGACTGTGGGTGCAGAGTGTGGGGTGACCTGAATTTAGAGTAAATTTGGTTTGACAAGGCCAGGAGCCCCACACAGTGAGGGCAAAAATTCAGGCTCCCTTGAGGTGGTTTAACAAAATTGGGGTTTGGTTTGTTCCTAGGCCCCCTCCTCTCACTTAACCTGTGAAACAGAAGCATGTCCCCTTGTGCCCCCTTGAGCTCTTGAATGTTGCTGTCCCAAAAACGGTGGGAGGTTTTCTTTGTCATAAGTGCCCACTTGTTACCTCATCAGTGATTGGCCACAATTACTGTACTTGTGCCAACAGATCAAAGGTTTTGTTTTTTCATACTTACCCTCACCACCTGCCCCTCGCACCCATGTTTGCATAACATCACACATGTGAAGCACGTATTCACGAGTGACACTGTCAGACATTTTAAGATTTCTCTACTTCCGATGACGGGAATCGTAAACCTTTTCTTTGAACGTCTGTTACAGCTTAGCATCACCCTCCTCCACTTGCCTCACCTTCCCAGTTAATCTGGTCAAGAGGACAGGCATCCACTTCTCCTCTGGGGTCTTATGGATCCTACACAGGCTCTCAAAGGTGGGGAGAAATGTTTCTATGCAGCTACTTTCTTGATAAAATGGGCAGGCTCTCTCCTGCCTCTGGCGCCTTTGGCAGCTGAGCCTGTTCTCTTTCTGCTCACGTGCTTAGTGCCACAATGTGTGAGTTCTCTCCGCCATTGCTAATTGTTCCATGCATCTGCAGTGAGGTTTGGTCTCAATTTCAGCATTAGTGTCGCCTCTTTAGTAGTCTCTTTCCTCTGCCACCTCGGTTTCTGTCTTCTCCTTCAGCAGGCGCTCTGCTATCAGTCGCTGTGGCTCCCTTTCTCCCCAGACTGCCTGGTGCCTCAGCCAAACCAGCTTCACTGCAACAGTCATTGGGTGTTCAGTCCTTGTTCCTGGGTCAAAGTCTACGAGCACAGCTCTCAGAGCTTGAGTTAAGGCTTTTTTTACCGGATATTCCCCTATTTGTAAATAATTTCTCAAGGCCTTTGGGTCAAGATGCTCCTATCACCGTGATTCACTCACTGTGGCTAATCTTTAACCCATAAAAACGGGCACTGGGGTTATGATCAATACACCCAATTGACCAGCGGCATGTGAATCCTGCCATGTCTACACCAAGCGTCACGCTGTCTAGTGTGCGAGCGCCTACCTAAGGACAGATTGTCAGAAACAGGGCCGACCATCCCCCTCCCCCAGCTGGTGGTATGTTCTAGAATTAATTAAATCTCAACAAGGCACTAACAAATGGGAACTTCTAGATCCTGGTGCCAGTCTCCCCATGGAGCCCCAGCGAGTATGTCTACACACCTAGGGTTAGTGGGGCTCACGTCAGCTGACCTGTGTCAGGGAACCCTGGGCTTGAATGTCTACACTGACGTCCAACACTCAAGTCATCTGAAGAAGGGGGCTCTGCCCACGAAAGCTCATGATCCCATCTACACGGTTTGTTAGTCTTTAAAGTGCTACCAGACCAGTTGTTTTTTCAGAGCCATTGATGGGACTCCGATGCCCCTAAGGAGCAGAGAAGCACATAAACTGCCTAAGTTGCTCTTTCGGTGGCTGTCCCAGGAAAATGACAGCGTGTGAGATGCCTTTATGCTCAGCTACCCCCAAATCTCAGAACTGGGCTCTGCGCCTCGAGGCTGAGTCCCACGGGCAGGGAAATGCCCTCGTGCACTTGTTCTGATGGGAATCAGGACGTCAGTCTCCAGAGCTGTCTAACCATTCAAACAGAACGCGGCGACTGTTCATTTTCAGAACTGGCTGTTCGGCGAAGGGCTCGGTGTGGTTTGCTTTGCTCTGCTTTGACGTGTGACATAAAGTGGAAGTGTTCAGAGGAAGATCACACACCCCAGTCTGGCTGCTGCTGTCTGCAGAGCATTGGAGGGCAACCTCAGGACTTGGGGTGCAGTGAGCTCCAGGGCCCCCAGGGCTCCCTTACCGGCCACCAGCAGACCCTAGGATGCAGAAATAAGGGATCCCTGGGAGGCGGTAGGGATCTGAGTCAAGCCAGGGCCATACGTAGCCAGAAAGCAACAGGGCTCAGACCCTAGTTCCCAACGTAACATGGACTTGCTCCCTCCAGCCCTAAAGGGCCCTCAGTTCCTAGGCCCAAGCCCCAGCTCATCACAGTTTTGACACATACCAAAACACATACAATGTTCCGGTTGTTTCCAGCGAGTCTGTCACTTTCCCCAGACCAATCTGTATCTTACGTCTCACACCAAAGACAACACCCATATCCAATCCTGTAATAAATTAGGAAAAGAAAGGAGAGCGCTATTCACAGGGTAACGCAAGCAAGCTCATACACACGAAGGAGTTGCAATCTGAATCCTAAGAGTGACAGAGTTGTAGTCACCTGGCAACTCCAAGTGTCTTTCAGGGCAGACTCAGATAGTAACTGCCAGGGATTATTGGCTTCTGTTTAGTGTCTCTAGCCCTGGGAGAGTTCAAACAGAAAACTGTCCCGTGTCTTTTATTTCCTTCATTCCACTTCCAAGTCCAAAGGACCAGCTTGCTTGCAGGTAGCATTTTCAAGGTTCCACACGGCCATTAACCAGTTTTTTGCAATGCCATGGTCCTTCATGGCCAATCTGATTTTGATTGTCCTTCTGGATGGGCAGATAGAAACACTCTTCCCAGCCGAGGTCAAGGGTCTAGTGTGGAATATGGACCTTACACGTGAGATTAATGCATGCAGCACTTTGCAAGCATTTCACAGGCTGTAAGCTCCAAATGCATTCTTATAAGGTGCGTTTTGAGCAGTGCTCCCACATAAGTGAACTGGTCTGATCTCCAGCTAGTTTGTCAGTGCTCAGACACGCTGGCACTTACTTTGATGGGTTCAACATCTTTCACCAAGACAATAATCTCCCATTGAATTTGGTTTCCCAAGAAATGAATGCTGCATTGCACTCCAGGTGTGTCAAATTAGCAAGCTAATACTTGTCTCTTCCAAGCTGCT